TACTTTCCACGTATTTTGGGTGATTCTTGAGTATGAAGCATCCATTTTGGGTACCATAGCCAAAAATTACAAGGCTTTAACGGGGAGATTGGAATCCAACATCGAAAGAGAGAAACTCAACAGTGTGACAACGGACATACCACGTATTGGCTTCCAGCCCGCCTTTTGGGTCGGCCGGTCGGCCCATCCCTGTCCACCTTGTTCCCAATATTATCATCCTCATTACCCTCCGCGAAGCAAACGAGGCTGGCTGCAAAATCCCGAACTAAAGGGAGGTTCCAAAGGGAAATCCATCTATAAATGGGGGATTTTCCATTGCCATGTTTGACTATCCAAGGGTATTATTCTCCGTACTCTTGTCAATAACACTATGATTATTCTTATGTAATCTTGATTTCCCCCTCATCATCCCTACAAGACATTCAAAATATCATAAGATATACGTCCATTACCTTCCATTCCATTGTCCCGTTTTACCTCATTATCCAAGATACTCATCACTGTGGAATTACTATGGTTTTCATTGATTTCATTGTTATAATGATAATCATGACAATGATTATTGTATGATATTGTATTTAATTGATTGTTACATGGTTGTTACAAGTTACAAAGATAAATTTTACTAGTATCCATTTAATTTCACCAACAATCCCCAAAAAACGATACAAATTTCATATGCCACCACAGATATCAAATATGCACATCATCTCCTTAAAAGGCCCATCTCCGTGAAATCCCAATGATTTCTCAACATCCATAATGACATCCCATTAAAGAAATCTCATTCCCATAGAATATCCCATGTTATGTATTGTTATTTCACATATTCCCAGATTTGCCCAGATTTTCCCACTATCCCAAAAAACCCATATCATCCCAATTCATTATACCATACTTTTCTATATCAAACCCACATCATCCCATATCATATCACGGATTTTCCCAGCTTCTTCCCATCATTTTCCCTTCCAACATTTTTCATACTTTTTCCAACATGTTTCCCACAGTTTCCCAACATTTTCCCAAATAAATCCCTACTTTTTTCCCGCAAATTTCCACCCAAGATCCCCAAGGACAAGATCGTCAACATGACCAACGGCGTGACGCCGCGCCGCTGGGTGCACTGCGCCAACCCGGCGCTCAGCGCCATCTTCACCAAGTACTTGGGATCCCACGAGTGTCCTGGCGCGCTGCTGGAGATCCATGGAGAATCCGTGGATTTTCATGGTTTTTTTCATGGGAAAATGATGGGAACAGGTGAAGAAGTGGATTTTTATGAGATTTGAATGGGATTTTAATATCCAAAAATAAATAGAAGGTGGGATTTTCATCCGATTTTACGCATCAGCTAATGGGAAAATGATGGGGAAACAATCAATATAGTGGGATATGATGGATATAGTTTGGGTATACTGGGATAATTGTAACTTGGGATATAATGGGATATCTTTGGGATAAGTGGATTCTCATGGGATTTGAATATCCAACAAGAAATGAAACATTGGATTTTGATGGGAGAGATTGGCAACGATTTTCCTCAGTGAGAAACGTTCAAGCATATCAAGACAATTACTGGGACTGATGGGGATATATCAAACAGTATATTAAACATTTGATTTTAATGGGAGTTTAAGCATCAACAAATGGGAAAATGATGGAACAACTATCAACGTAATGGCATATCATGGGATCTAACGGGACAATAACTAAAAACCATAGTTTGGGGATAGTGGGACGGGATAATTGTAACAAGGTGAGATAACTGCAAGGTGAGGCCCCCTAAGTTATGTTGTTGCGTTATAAAGCCCACAAATACGATAGATTACTGCAGTCATATCCTCGTAGTCAACCCGAGCTAACCAACTTGTTTAAGTCAACTTGGCTATCGATTGGGGCCGCAGTTTGTATTTTGTGTACAGCGAAAAAAAAATTGACGAGCAAGAAAAGAGATTTACCCAAACATCACATTCAGGATATTTGTTTACCAGAAAGGATGGTTTAGCCGTTTAACCAACAAAAGAAGTTGGACTTAACTAACAAAAATGGTGGTTGAACTAAGAAGAATGGGGGTTTCACATGGTGTAACAAACAAACATGGGGTCTTAACCAGCAAAGAACGGAGAATTTCACTCGCGATGGGGATTTCACCGACCAACAATTGGGGACTCAAGCAAGAAAATGGGGATTCTGTCAAATGTTTGGGCGATTCTGCGGTCGGCTTCTCAATATATATATATATATATTCCTGTTGGAAACTTGACACTTTCTTGGTTCCTTCCGATCTTTGTTTGCTGATAAACTTTTTTGGTCCTCCCTCCCCATGTTTGTTGCTTAAATCATCTTAAATCCATCTGTTGACATGTTTCTTGGATCCATCTGTGTATAGGTTCAAATCCCTGGTTTTCTTGGTTAAACCTGTTTCTTGGTTAAGCCTTATTTGCACCCCCATGGTTGTTGCTTAAACCCATATTTTTCCAGGCGAAGTTTCTCCGATTTGTTGGTTGAAGCGATGAAACTATCCAGTGGTTAGGAGGGAGCTGTGAAGGGAGCTACTGGTATCATATTTTTTCCCTATCAAATGGGGAGCCAGTTGGAGCTACCAAAAGTTTCCCAACCACATGATACTTAAACCATGTTAAACCACTATTTGATTCTTGCACTATCTCAGCTTCACCACTGGATTTGGTGGCCTTAGATATTCATGAACAGATTATTCATCGATTTGTTGGTGAAACCATGATATGTGTACCATCATTGTGTTGGTAAATCCATAGATTTGTTGGTGAAACCAAGCACTATCAATAGTAAACACGTGGTGACCTTAGATTGTTTTTAGATATTCATCAACAGAACCCATCATTTTTTGCTGGTTGAATCATGTTGAATCCTTGTTTTTCAAAAAACAACCAAAAATCACCGGCCACGGGAAGGTGGCTGACGGACATGACCAAGTTGAAGGAGCTGGGGACTGGGGGGTTTAACGGGTTCACCGGCAAAACATGGAGTTTTTTTGGATCAACAGCGTGGGAGTTTCAATTAACATATGGGTATGGATCAATACCTATGAAAATACCATTTTTAGGGGGATGAACATCCATAAATCCCAGCTATTTTGATGTGAACAGAAGGGGTACAAGGTTTTGACCCATCCCCATATGGGCATTTCACCAAGAAATGTGGGTTGGAGGGTTTGATTGAAAATTGAGGTATCATTCCTGAAAGAAGTGGCTGTCTTCCCCCAAAATGAGGGATTTCTGGTGGTTTCTGGTGCAGGACATGTTGAAGTTCAAGGAGGACACGAAGCTGCATTCGGAGTGGATGGAGATGCCACTTGGCGAAAACCCATGGGGAAATCGCTTGGGAAAATGATCTCTACATATCCAAATGGTGTTTTTTCATGGTTTTTCAACATCTTTTTCTAGGTTTTCAGAGCCAAAAAAAGACCACATCCGTGGCTCAAACCGCAGGTTTGGATGTAGCCTTTTTGGTGAACCTGAAGTTTGATGTGACAGTCATGCCTTCAAACCAAGAAGAGGTAATGCCTTCAAACCAAGAAGAGGTAAAGATGTTACCTGTGCACACATATATAATTATATAATATAATATGTATTTACATATCATAATATGTATAATTATATAATCACCACCCCTTTAAGGCGGCTTTTGAGGGGGGCAACGTCCCCGAGGTGTCGTTTTTGTGTGGAGGGTCTTCAAAATACCTTCAAAAGCTTACCTTTTCAAGGCCCCCTCCCTTAAAAACGGTGGTAATATTATATATAATATAATGTATATTCTAATGTTCATGTCTCATCATACCTCCATGAAATAAAGATATATAGATCATATTATTTGTGTATATCTACATTCATGGTGGGTATCAAATATGCCAGTATACAATGGTCCAGGAAGAGGGAAGCGAAAGCAAAGCTGGCGGCGTACGTCAAGGCCGGGTGCGGCGGTGCGCTTGAAGCGATGAGGATCCAACTAGATCAATCCCAAAAAGAATTCATGGAATATTCATGGAATATTCATGGAATAGTGATTGAATTGGATTTATTGGGATATTAGATCAACTAAATAGATCAACTAAATCATTTATTGGGATTTGATGGTGATTGAATCGGATTAGTGGAATCTTATGGAATATGATGGAATCAGAAGTCCCATCCTATTCTCAAAAAGAATATGGCAACTTGCTTTTTTTTTCAAGCATCCAAAGTATTGGGCCTTAATTAGGTATCAATTTGTATATAGCGTATAGCAAAGTGATCAAAGTGATCCAGCATTTTGAGGCACATTTTGCCTCAGAAATCTGCTGGAAGCAGCTGGAACCAGCGGGGTCTTCCCTAGGAGAAGTGCAACCTGGACATCGACGAGGCGGGATCAAGGGACTAATGGAGGTTGATGGCTGGTAACATCATCCAATGGGGGGATCTTTCAACCACCACCATGTTTACCGGAAATGAAACGATATTTTTGTGAAGAGAGTGTTCCTTGTTTCAGTTTCACATAGGGTCTATGAATGGCAGGGACTTTTCAAGCGCAAGTTTTTTTTTAAACCATGTCTTCCTAACGAGGGAATGTGTCCCAGGACGCCTTGATTGACATCCAGATCAAGCGCATCCATGAGTATAAGAGGCCGGATCCGCGGGAAAACCGGGGACATTTTTTAGGCTGAAATGGGCTATGACGGCTATGACATGAGGATCAAAACCGATGAAAAATACCATATTTGGGGGAATGAACATCCAGAAATCCCAGTTGTTTTGGTGTGAAAATCAAGGTACCAGGGTTTTGACCCATCGCCATATGGTACGAAATAAGTTTCTGTTCATATGTTTTGGTTGGACCCCCCAAAAAACAGAGGGCACTGAACCGGCCAATGACATGGTGGGTGACTTAAGAGTTTTCCAATCATTTTTCATCCGCATTTTCCCAAACTTGGTGAGTTCTCCAGAATTCCCGCGTCGTCGTCTGAAACATCTCGCAGGCAACTAATGAACATCCTGTATGTGATCCACCGCTATCAGGTTGGCAGGGTACGGCCTGGGACAATCAGTTGTGGGTCTGTTTGAAGACGGGGTACGGGTACCCAAAATTCACTTGGATTTAATGATCATGTTTGCAATTGATACGATATTCAAGTCTCTCTCTCTCTCTCTACATATATATATATATATACATATGTATATGCACACTGGATAATATAGGTGCAATTAGTCGTATATGTTCACACACACACACACGCATCATATAGTTGTTACAACCAGCTATCTTGATGTGAAACTAGGGTGCCGAGGTGTTTGTGAGTAGCTGATGATCACCCAATCAGCTGTAGGATTTCAGGGACATTGCGTGGTTTACCCTGGATATCATCCTTTGAACACCTAATTTGTACATAGATATCGTGGGATTTGCATGGATTTGCGAATATATTCCTCTAATCCGCATCCCAATTTCTGAACTTTACTTTGCTACTACATCTGTGGTACTTGGAAAAAAACAACGGATCCCAATTGCCAATTCCTGGTGACCCATGTCTAACGTTGGAACCTTAGAGGACGCATCATGGAGGTTGACCAGCCCTTAGTGCGTCAAGAAGGTACCAATACCATATCAAAGCCCAGCCTTCTTTTTGTGAACCAACATATTGGTAGGTTTTTCAACCACAATTTACAGCTACCTCCGAAGTTATTTGGGCCATTTTGGGCCCAAAAACCATTGGTTCCTCTTAAAGAATCCCTGGTGCCCATTGCTCCACGCCCGCAGAATGTGCAGGACCTGAAGTCGAAATCACCCGGGGAACGAGCGAAGGTGAGAACGAAGTGAAGGGAGGGCTTGGATTTTTTTCAGGATGTGATACCCTCTAGTAAACTAACAGACATAGCTTAGCTATGCTTAGCTATTGAAAATGGCTATTTAGTTTAATTTACCCATAAAAAATGATGTTTTTCCATAGTTCTGTAAACGTTTACCAGGCCGGGTAATGGTAGTATTGTAATTTGCCCAGATGTATCTATAGGAACCCCCCAAAAGATAGAACAGTAATCAACTTATGAATAGGGAATATTAATGAGATATTAGGATATAGTGAGAATATCATGGGGACATAGGGACAACCATCACTATACTGAAGATACAGTCTGGATAATTATTACGACCTCACTGCTTTATGATTGATGGTGAATGTAAGGGGTAACTGTCCCAAGATAGCCTTATATCAGGTTCTTGAATTATTGTAACTTGGATTTGCCAAAGGTTTGAAGGTGATTGTGTATTTTCCCATTGGCAACCCTTCCCTTTTGGGGAATTTGTGAGGATTTGTTTTACCTATTTTTTGGAGCATCTTAAGCAATTCCAGTAATGGGTGTCTTTTAGTAACCCGCAACATGGTAGAAAAGTAACACCGCACTGAACATATCGATGAGACAAGAAGTTACAACAGTGTCCTTTCGGCTAAAAGGCATTTTCACCTACAACAGGGATTTAAGATTGTTTTTGGGGTTACAAGATAATCCACTTGCGATATCAAATGACATGTCATTTTGGCCATTTGTTTGGAGCAATGCAACACATTGGGGCCCATCACGGGGGGAATGGGATCACTGGCAGGGGGAGATGGGAACCCAGTTGGTGGTGCCACATTTTCGAGCATAGAAATGGGATGATGTTAACTCTTTCACCATGGTCACTCTTCGATACCATCCAAAAAATGTTTAAACATAGAAAAACACCACATATAGGAAAATAGATTCCCGCCCATTTTTTGAAAGCAACATTGAAATAGCTATCCATCCTCAAGTTGGTCAATCTTCATATTATGCTGGTGATGTTGTTTACATTTTACATCCCCAGATTAACTAACATTATTAACATTATATCCCTGCAGTATAGCCATATCTAGAAACATCAAACAACTATCCATCCCGTTGCCCATTGAAAAGTCAACCAACCGTCTGGAGGCCCAGAAGAGGGTGGTCCTCATTGGTGGCAAGGCGTTGGCATTGTGGATTTCAGGTCATTGGAAGTCCAGTGAACTATCAATTTACCTCTGGTAAACGTTTACAAAAAACTCTGGAAAGATCCACCCATTTTCACTAGGTAAATTAACCATAAATGGGCCATTTTCCATAGTCATGTTAGTTTACCAGGCCGGGTATCAATTTACGGAGGTTTAAGTTTAAGGGTTTTCAACATGGAGAGTTAACCACGATAAAAACATCCAGAGGCCCCAGTATTTGTTGGGTTTGACTCATAGCCGCTATCTGGATATGGCTATGGGTCAAAATTGAAGACACCAACAACTAGATTATTAATATTAAACATGATATGCATATATATATATAATAATAATAATAATAATATATATATATTAAGATCTGTGGTCCCACAGGGCTTAAATTTTGACCCATGCCCATATATGGGATATTATAAACATTATTATGTTATCTACGTTGAAGATGCGGACTTCACACATAATTGTTGGGATTTACGCAACAAGATTGGGGGTTCTTCAGCAAGTAACGATTTGATGAGGAACACCTGTGGTCCCAAGGAACACCTGTGGTCCCAAAGTGGTAGGTTTGCCATATCTACACTCTGGTTGTTCATCATCGCCATGGAAAATTTAGGTAAATCAATCGAAGTAAATCATCGCCATGGTTTCTATAGCTATGTAACAAGCTACTAGAAAGTATATGCCATTGATTTTAGTTATATCCCATAAGATGGTTGGCTGTATTTCCATTGGATATTAGATATCCATTGGCAATTCTATACCAATGGAATCCCAATGGATAATAATGGATACCCTCGTGCAATCAAGCATTGCAATGGAAAATCCGCCATTTACCCTCTGGTAAACTAACATAACTACGGAAAATCACCGTTTTTAATGGGAAAATCCACTATAAATGGCCATTTTCAATAGCTATGTTAAATTACCAGAGGGTATATTCATACATGAAAACATGTAAACACCTCCATTCAGTTCAAGGATTTCCAGACATGTTTGATTACCAGAGGTTTTTCATCCATCATGTTCAAAGAACTCCCATAACTATTTCATTCTCATCCCACTGTGAAACACCATTATTATCCCATAAATTTACGATGTATGTCCCATAACACAACCTTGGGTTGTACCCCAAATCTATATCCATATGAAAAGCTTTGCAATGGATGCGATCTATATACCTTGGTCATCCGAAATTTGAGGCCTTATTCCCAATGAGGGTTGATGAAAATGGGTACGATGTAGGGACCCTAAAAGTGATCAATCGGTTGGCATAAGCCCATTAACCCTATAGTTAGTTATACTAGTTATACCAACAGTTATACTAGTTATACCAACAGTTATACTACGTAGTTATATTCATTAACCATTATATCTGTTCGAATTACCATAAACCCTAGTTATACTGAAGTTATGTTTGCCAACGTTAGCTATCGTAGACGCGGGCCTCACCTTGTAGCCCTTTTCGTTTTCCGGGATGATGTGGGTGTTTTTTTTGATGGTTTGCTATTGGGTTTTGCCACATTACTACTATGATAACTCCAATATCCTACTATATAATCCCATCATATTTTCCTGGTTCACTCCCAATTTTCCTGGGTCATCCAGCTCCTAAATTTTGCAGCTCCAAGAAATACTATTTGTGACAGGATTAATTAAAATGGAACATGAGGTACCCCAACCATTTTTCCAGAATTGGTGGGAAACACTTGCAGGCAGCCCCCCCAGATTTACTGGCAAAAACTGATGGCTTCCGCTGAAGATTTTCCCAACAAAACGAATCCATTGACTTTTGTGTTGGAAAACTCACCAGCCTCCACATGACTGTCTAGGCAGCCTCTGCCTACGTGAATGCGAAGATCATCATCAAACTCATCAACAACGTTGGCAAGGCGACATGTGAAGGGACAATGGGATGATTTCAGGACTGAGATCTAGGTGATCTCCAACTTTTTCCCCTAGCTGAGTAAAGATGATACCTTTCAGTGTACATAGATTTTTTTATTGGCCCAAACATAGATAGATTTGGCGAAGTGCAAACGGACTGGCATGTTTAAAACTGGGATCATCTAGTTTCTGCTAAAACCATGACTTCTTTGGCCCGTGGTTCTGATCAGGGCAAACTGGGATGGTCATCCCCATTGAATCCGCCAATTTTTGGCGACCACTGAGGTCATCAACAACGACCCCGACACCGGGAAACTGTTGAAGGTGGCCTTCGCACCTCGACGACACCAAGATGGGGAGATCGAAATTTCGGCTTCAGAGATGGAGAAACTCCCGAAACTTCCATATGGTGATCAGCCTATTTTTCGATGGAACAAAAATCTGAACATCATTATTTGATATTATTTGTGGATAGTTTCATAAATGTTCATATACCATCTGGTTATTTAACATAGCCATGGAACATCCACCCATTTTTGATAGGTAAACCATCTATAATGGGCCATCGAAATTCACCATGGCGAACTGTTAGTCATAACCAGGTCGGGTATTTCCATATGGAAATTTCGACATCAGAAATCCCATGGCTCCCATGGCTGCCATGGCCCTGGCCTCCGGTGATTTGTAGCGAGGTGCCCAACTACTGCGTCTCGGCGGCGCAAGTCATGATCCCGGCCTCGGACATCTCGGAGCACATCTCCACGGCAGGCGCGGGAGGAGAAGATGGGGGGATTTTTTTGGGAGGAAATCCTAGGAACATGGGGGGAAATTCTTGGGAACATGGGGGGAAAACTGGAAAACATAGGGAAGAAAAGGGCTTAACTATGCCTAGTTATGCTTCATGATCTTTCTAAGACAAATTGGGGTTGAACTAATCAAAGTAGGGGGATGTTGGCAGATGATCAATGAGTGGTGAAACAGATACATAGGGAGTCATCACAAAAATGGTGAACATTTCAGGTTTGTGAGATTTTGTGATTTCAGTATTCTGACACTTTTTTTGATCATTAGCGGCCTGCTGAAGAACATTCACGAATGAAGCCTCCGAAATTACCCACGGGTTCGATGATTTTCTACATCCGTATTGGATAGTGACATCCGTGGTATCATCTATAGTGGATTTTCCACAGTCAACCAGAAGAAAAAATCTGGCATAGCAGCGCCCTGCACGTCACTTGGCTTTTCCAGGTACTGAAGCCAGTGGCACTTCCAACATGAAATTCGTGATGAACGGCGGCCTCATTGCTTCTCGCCTGATGTTTGCCAAGGGCTGGGTGGCAGGTGGCCCAGGCCCCATCATGCCCCTGGGCCCCATCTGTCCGAATCTGTCCCCTGATGAATTACTCCCCATATGGAGCTCCAAAATGCATAGATTCAATAGTAAATCAAGGTTTCGTTTGGGGGTATTTACTGTAGTATTACATAAGAGGAATGGATTATACCCTTCCTTCAGTGTGAAAGTGGTTGAAAGTGGACTTTTGTTGCTCATGATCACTGCTATGGTATGTCGGTGTGAAGTCAGTGAAGTCACTGCTGCAGACCGAAGTGGAACATTCGCACAGCTGGATTCGATGCGAGGCTGACACTACTTAAGATTGCCATAGATTTCCCATGATGAAATCCGCGTTGCTGGTTAACCTCTGGTAATTTAACGTAGCTATTGAACATGGCCATTTATAGTGGATTTACCCATTGAAAATGGTGATTTTCCATAGTTATGTTAGTTTACCAGAGGGTAACCTCCCCCATAGATTATGCTTTTATGGTTATCATCCTCATCTCTTTCATCAATGGACTTGATATACCACAACCGTTCGAGTGGTTGAACCAAGTGTATTATGGTCATAATCATACTAATATCCTTTTGATACCATTCTTGCACTATACATGATGGTTACATGATAAGTTATATATACGGTATAACTTAGTAGTGGTTTCATAGACATCACTGCACCAGTAGACCATCATTACACTGTTCACCATTATTCTACAGTCCATCATTATAACAAGAAATGGATAGTTAGTTATAATGATAGTTACTTATATCCAAATCACTATAATGAACTCCAAGATATAGCTAACTGTAATAGGTACTTCAAGAAATAATGAACGATAGTTACAACTATATCACTATCACGAACTATCATAATGATCTTAAAATATAATTACCATAATTATAGATAACTACAACTATTTTGACAGTTACTTATCATGATGGTATCACTATTAGTTATACCACAAAAGTGGTTGTAGCATTGTAGCACCGCAAGAGATGCGCAGAATTTCCAAGCCCTGTTCGCCATGGCCAAGTCGAAGGTGGGTACCATGGATGGTGCGAACATCGAGATCCGTGAGGAATGCGGTTTGGGCGGCCCAGTGGTTTTTTGTTAGCTCATTAAATGAGGCGTTTTCAGCAGCGATTTCGCAGGGTTTCAACATGTTTCAACCACACAAAAAAGGAGGATGAACCATGACATACCATGACAATGACTGGAATGGTGTCAGAGACTCAGAAAATCTCAGAATGTAGGCAAATTTGGCTTCCAATCTGTGAAACTTACGTGCAGTGCACCGTAAGATTCTGGGTTGCACAATTTCATACAGACCTGTTTTCTTATTTCAGTTTCTGGGGCTTCGAACGGGAGGCATCCAACGCAGCAGTGGATGCTAGTGTGGTCCAAAGGTTGGGGAAGATGGCCTCAAAAGCATGACTGATTTTCTGATTTTCCTGCCTTGAAAGTAATAAACTGGTAAACCCAATAAGAAGGGACTGTTTTTTTTTGTGCAACAGCAACCAGTGTGTTTTCAGGCCATGGTGTTTATCCAGCTTCTACTGGTGTTTTTGTAACAGTGATGTTTTTATTGCAACAGTTCCCCGGTGCTTTTTTACAACGGTTCTGACCGCTGTTTTTTGCAATTCCCCTTTTTTTTTGCAACGGTTTGCTGGTAGCACTGGCGGTAGTAGGTGGTAAGTCATATGTTGTAGGTGGTTAAGTAGTAGGTTCATCGGTGGTAGGTAGTATAGGTATAGTGGGTGATAGGTAGTGGATAATAAGTAGTGGGTATGTGGGTAGTAGGAAGTTGTAGGAGGTGGGTAGCAGGTAGCAAGCGCAAAGTGCTCCTGTTGCCTGCTTTGCCGACCGTTGCGGTGGTGGGTTTGTTGTTTTGATCGGGCCGAGCGGGGTGTTTTTGAAACGGTAGGCTGGTAGCAATGGTGATAGTAGGTAGTAGATGGTAGTAGCAGGTCGTATGTTGTAGGTAGTTAGGTAGTAGGTACTGTAGTAGGTCGTAGTCCGTAGGTAGTTTACCGTTGCAAAAAACAGATATTATAGTGTGTATTAGGTCGTGGGTGGTAGGGAGGTGGGTAGCAGGTGGCAAGCGCAAACAACAGCAGCGTGTTTTGATACAACTGGGCATTGTGGAATTAGTTTGGCAGGGGGGGTTAAGGGAGAGCGCACCGCCTCGCCCGCATGCGCAAGGTAAAAGACGTCAGCACCACCAGCATCAGCAGCTGCACCCCTTCAACCCATGCAAAGAAACATCGCTGACCGTCGCAGAAAATTGCCGCCGCCGCTGCTGCTGCTGCAGCAGCAGCTGCTGCTGCTGCTGCATTATCACAAGACCCACCCGCAGCCCGCACAGAAAACACCACTTACCATCGCAGAAAACACCGACCGTCGCTGAAAACACTTTCCAACTGAAGCCTAAAACACCGCCAGCAACGGCAACCCGCGCAGAAAATACCTTTCCAAGCAGCAGTTGCGAAAAACATGGGTTACATGACCAAAAAAACACGCAACCCGTGTCAATAAGAAACGTGGGAGACCCAATAGCAATAAATTGGAAGGTAATCATGGAACATGGGGAATTCACCTGGAATGGTGGATTCTTGGGATATAATTCTGTGGATTCAACGAGATGTTTCTCATCCAAAACTAGGGTCGACGAAATTAGGTACAAGGTGGGTTATAAGTCGGTTTCCAAATCCATGAACCATTAGATTCCTTAGATATTTCATTAACACATAACCCCTAAAAAATACTACCATATACTACCATATAAACCAACCTAGCTATCGTTTGGGGATGTGGCAGGGTGACCTGTGGGTCTGAGGTGAAGACACCATGTTCATCTTCGGCTGCTTGGAGCATGAGGCCACGTCTCGTGACGGTTTCAGCACCGAAGGGTGCTTGGCTGTTACGAAAAAGGTGACTTCACCAGCAAAAATGGTGATTTGAGCTGCAACAATGGTGATTTTAACCACAACAGTGGGGTGTAATTTAGTGATTTTGGGGATGGATTATTTTTGGAATTATTTTTGGGCTTACCGCAATACACACTATTGTTGGCTGATATCCCACTTACTCTACTGCTCATTCTTACGGCCTCAATCATCTTATCATCATTTAGTGTTGACAACATATGATAAAATCATTGTTTTTGATTGGTTTGTTGGCATTGGGAGTCGTGGGAAATCTCCAAAAAAACTACATGCCTCTCCATCCTGATTATTTTGGAGGTTGGTTGGATCTTATTCCATTGACTGCAAACATGGGCTTAGCTTACATCATCATGTTTTTCTGGTTTCACGCATTGTTGGTTTCGGGAAATTCCCACCCCTTACCGAAAATAGATGTTTAGGAATTTTCCATAGTTACATCATTCCACATCATTCCACATCATTGGGGTTACACTGCTAAAGGCCAAAATAGATGTGGAATGATGCGGACAACACCCACGAGTTTGATCATTTTCCGAATGGTTGCGACACCATGGCTGCCATCCACGTTTTTTTTTGTTCGTTTTTCCAGGGGGTACTGTGGATGGTTGTGAAATCCTGCACCTGTTGGTAGATGGCTTATCCCATTACAATCCCATTATATCAATGGGAATTCCAGGATCCTAAAATGGAGGTACTGTACCATATAAGGCCATATTTTGTGGGGATATTCCCTTACATAGGCCTGACTTATATAGGCCTTATATGTGGAATCGGTACCTCCAATGAATCGGTTCCTGAAATGGCCGTTGATAATCCCAAATGTTTCATAGGAATCCCAAGAGTTACCCTGCCTGGTGCAGGATCTCGCACCCCTCCCGCCAGGTGTCCCAGATTGCCTCTAAGGCAAAGAGTGGGCTGGGCTGCCCAGTGGAGTTCACTGGTGGATTTCATCCAGTAAATAAACTTGCACTTTGCTATGGAAAATGGTTCATTTATAGAAACATGACCTATTAACATGGAGTTCTTTGATAGTTATGTTACAAGTTATGTTAGTTTACCAGATGGTAAGAGTTAACTCGCCATGGAAATAGGTGACGTAAATAGCTTCATTAACCATTGTGAACCATTAATAGTGGTAACTAGTTCTATTCACTATTCACTCACTATGGTGAATGATGGTAATAGTTAATCTTCGTGGATCACCTAAAGAAAAACATATTAACCATTAATGCTGGCGGTGAATAGGTAACCATGAGTATGCTTAACCATAAAATAAGCATAATGCTTGATTTCATGGTGGTTAATTTCATGGGCCATGGTGACTTTCATGGCGATTCAACCCCCAAGGTGGCCCAACATTGGAGATACCCTCCGAAATTTCACATGTGGCTTGCTGGAAAATCATCCATTTACAGTTGATTTTCCCGTTACCCTCTGGTAAACATGCAAAAAATTATGGAACATCACCATTTTTGATGGGTAAAACAACTACTGTATAAATGGCAATTTCCAATAGCAAACTGTTAGTTTACTGGAGGGTAAGACCTTCATTTTGTTTGTGGATTTCACAGCTAGCCATGTTTGACACTAGAGGTCATATTACAATGTCGTGCCCCAAATCGT